CACTTCCAAGCAGCAAAAATGTCCAAAGCAGCACAAAAAACTATAAGCATCTAGTGAAAAATGTCTAAAGCAACATGTTCAAAGTAAATAAAAAAATAACAAATACAAAATTTCCCACAAGAATCTAGTGAAAAAAAAGTGTCCCTCAAGTGTTATTGTTTTCTTGAAAATAATGTAGGTAATCCACCTTATAGTGGGCGACCATCATTATGAAAAACTCTCTCTGGGTCGGATTTTCAAGCAACTCCATAGAGAACAAATATAGTGGCATGTTCTTGTAAATTTTTGAAATTTCCACCATAATTCACATAATCTGCTGGACAGATTTTGCTTGTGGTGGGCCAAGGCCAATTGTGCATGAAGCTACAAACCATAATATCTGACTTCTAACGAAAGCAACTCCCATTTTTGTCTTTTATCCAACCCTAGGTCGATCGGTTAGTGGATTTCACTCCATTGTAGTTCAGGCCGAGGACATTGTTAGAATCACATGTTTAGTTAGCTACCAAATTTATAGGGGTACCACCAAACCTTGCCTCATTGGAGGCACATGCATTTTTGCTTGTAGCCACTACACCACCAAACTTAAGGTCAAACTTCTCTTCCAGCTTAGGATCAATCTCTCAGCCCACCACTCATCAGAATCATCAGTTGTTTGCTTTATCAAATTCCAACCCAAGCTTGTGGTTCCTCGCTTCAATTATTTCTAGATTTTCCAATTCATTTTCAGCTGATCCCACTTGTTTTTCAATTGCATCCCAACGTACTTTCTACATGTACTTTCCTTAAAATTTTTTATGATATTTTGCAATCCCTTGTTGTTGAAAGAGGTTGTCGACCTATTTCCCTTCTCAGCCTTTTTTAGACATATATCACAAAATATTTATTTGGCATCTGTATCCCACATTGCAGATGTACCTGACTCTTTGGCCTTTACCAGTGTATATACTATCATGAAAAAATAAACGAATCAACATAAACATTTGCTATAAAAATATTTAACACAGCTCAGAGAAAAATGAGAATGTCACGATAACATCTCCACTACCCTTCCATACCACACCACCTACACATCACCTCTACCACCACCTCACACACACAACCGTAATGTAATTAACTCCAAACGCACAACACACCATCATCACCTCACCCACCACACCACTAACACACACACCACCACCACCCAATCACTACCACCCAATTACCCCCACCATCACCACTTAGCCCAACACACAACCACAACCATCATAACCACCAAACCAACCAGCTCAAACATCACCACACAAACACCCAACACAACAGCACTGCCGCCGCCGCCACCACCAGCTCACAACCACCAAAAACACAAAGCCAACACACATGTAGCTCATGAACCAATACATGACACATGTAGCTATACAACCATAGTAAGAGTTATATGAGAGTGTAGTATACTCAAGATTTATTGTACACAAATATATCACAAGTAGTTCATGACTGGTGCTCATCATTCCTTTGATTGATGGTCATTGCCTTCCATAAAAGGGAATCCCTAAGAATGATGCCATTTACTTCACTATAAAAATCAAATTTCTTGACTATTGATATACTTCAATCACTGTGTCTTCGCAACAATCAACAAATACTAGGGGTGCCGGCCATCTTTGTATACTACAATTTTCTCTCACTCACTCACACTATGCACATAGTCCATATGACACTAAGTCCCCTACACACTATGCACACACTCTCATATAGCTCCTACTACCCAAAATTGCTTTATAACTTCCAAGGGCCAGCTTCGAACTAAAACAAAAATTGTTCTATTGGAGCTTTGCACTGCGGTGCCATGAATTAGCCAGCACTACGAACTCCAAAGTGAAATGTGGCATATTTTTTCTTCATATGATGATGTTGTGACATTGCTTGTCTTGCATTATGGTGCAAGAACAACAGCACTCCGGTGCTAAAATGTGGCAATAAGCTACTAATCCTAAACTAAGACACTTAAAATTAGAAATGCTATGTCAAAACATTAAGAATTTGCATAAGAAATTGGAACATTGGGTGCTACAGCACTGTGCATCTGGCATCATCGCAACATTGCATCAATTTTTTTTTCAGACTATTCCAATTTATTATCTTGTCCATTTTCTATCTTAATATACAGAATTAAGCAATAAAAATACATAAAAATACACAATTTGATCACAAATACTCAATAAACTCTCTCAAATTTTACTTAGTACTCATCATCAAGTAATCCAAAAGATTGACTTGTGACTTTAATTTCTTTGATAACAAACTTATTTTAAAGTTTAACTTCATGGATAGGGAGGATGAGAGAGAGTGTGTAAGAGAAAGTGTGAGAGGGAGAGAGAGAGAGAGGTGTAAACGAGCCGAACACGAGCGAGCTCAGGCTCAGCTCATGTTCAACTTATTTATATTTCGAGCTTAAAAAGTATGTTCGTATTCGGCTCGTTTTCCCAGCAAGCCGAACACGAGCTGTTCACGAACAAATAGTCGA